GACAAGGATCAGAGCAGCAAAGGGACTTGGGAGAGCCGGTACCTAATAATACGCCTCCACTGGCTCCCCATCCCTCAGAGGATTGAGTTCAAAATTCTTGTCAGCACCTTCAAGCTCTTGACCCTCCTACCGCTCCGATCTGCTAACCCCCTTATCAACCTGTCCACTCACTCCACTCAGCAAGCTCTGGCCTGCTCCATGTCCCCCACCCAGCCCGCCCCACGATCAGCAGTCAGACCTTCAGCGTTTCTGCCTACGCCCTCTGGAACTCCATCCCACATTCCCTTCACCTCGCTCCCTCCCCTGTCTCCTTCAAGAGCAAGAACGTCCTCTTCGACGCATCCCCCCTTCCCACCCCATACCCCCGCTCGGGTCCCGATCCCTCATCCCTGACTGTGCAGCGCCTTGGGACGTCCTCCCTACGTGAAAAGTGCTTTATAAATGTAATTTTGTATTGTAATACTGTTTAAAGTGCCATTCAATTCAGGAGGTTGTGCTTCGTGCTGTCTCTATCAGTCCGGACACCCCAACCGAGGAAATGGCAACCCAAGTGCATAGAGACACTGAGCGAGGTATAACATTCCAGGTTTCTACACAAGCGAGGAGAGCACTACACACAGGGCAGAGCGTGTCATACACAAGTTACAGACAGGGCAGTGGACTGAATGGCTGAGTTGGTGGAGATGGGAAATGGTGAGTGGGGGGACAGGAGATTGCGTGGGTGGGGATGGGAGATGGTGAGGATGGGGACGGGAGATAGCGAGTGGTTGTGGGGCTGGGAGGCCGTGAAGAAGGGGAGCGGGACCGAGCAGAGCCGACCTTTGCCCTCAGCCAAGGCAGTGAGATCCGAGTGGCCAGAGATGAGACTTCGGGGGGCAAAGAGTCAGTGACCAACGAGGGGCCGAGGGGAGGTGCCAAGAGGAGGGACCGGGGTGGGGGCCCGGGGAGTTAAGGGGGGGAAGGGGATCGGGGAGGGGAGAGGGGTTAAGGGGGGTCCGGAGAGTTAAGGGGGGAATTGGGGGGGGAGGAGGGAGGAGAGGTGGTTAAGGGGGGGCCCGGGGTTTAAGGGGGGCGGTGGGGGTTAAGGGGTCCTGGGCTGTGGGGGCCCCTGGGGGCTGGTTCGGGGACATGGGCTGGGGGCTAGTTCGGGGTGGGGGCCTGGGCTGGGGGGGCTGGTTCGGGGTCCTGGGTTGGGGGCTGGTTTGGTTTGGGGGGGGAGGGGCTGGTCCGGGGTCGCTGGGGCTGGTTCGGGGTTGTAGTAACTGCTGGAGTCTAACTAGCTAAACCCACACAGCTTGTCATTGAGAACACTATCTGACAAGCTTTCCTGCTGCTTATTCAGCCGGGTCCACCCTACCCATTAGTTAAGGCTTTGGCTGCAGAGTTAACAGGAGCTGAGGGGGACGATTCCCTGCCCCTTCCATGTCCGGCTGATGAGCCAGGCAGAGCTCTGGAGGATGTGGTGAAGCGAAGAAGGAAACAAGTAAGAAAAGACAAAGCTTGAGCAACTTAAAAGAGGAAGGAGATCAGACACAGAGGCTAAAGGGCAAATCTGTGGTTTCTCCAGTCTATATTTTGTTACATTTAACTCCAGGCCTCATCGCTCCATCCAAACCTTTCCTAGTGTTTCACAGGAATGAGTGTAAAGTGTAGTGACTCTACATTTGTGGGCGAACACACACACACACATACAATTTGAGCATAACAATGTCCCACAAAACAGAAATGAGGTGAATGACCCACATTGATCTGAAGAACTGTCCAATTCGATACCAGTTAGAACCCACTTCTCTTTTCCACGACACTTGCCGGGCTGTGGTTCCAGCTCAGATCTCCCTGCCGTGGCTTTACTCACAGCATTAAAGCAACTTACAGTGGTGTGTAACAGTGTGCGTGTGAGATACATATAGAGTGTGGGACAAGTGTTGCAAAGATTGCTGTAAGAAACATCACGACTCAGTGTGTGTGTGTCAGGCTGTCTCTGTGTGTGTGGGTGTGTGTGTCAGGCAGTCTCTCAGTGTGCTCAGGGCACTGCACAAGCACAACCCTGTTTATCAGTCTCTGTCATCCGGTTTCTTGCCATTTCAACTCTCTCTCCCGCACTCTGACCTCTCCATGCATGGGCTTCTACACTGTTCCAATGAGCCACAGCGCAAGCTCGAGGACCAGCACCGCAGTTATCTGCTCAGGACCCTACAGCCTCTTCCCTCAATATTGATTTCAACAATTCCAGACCATAACAGTTCACCTTCCCCCTCCCCCTCTTCTGTGACCATCACCACATCATCCTGGTCCCAGACAGCTTTTCTCTCCCTGGTCTGCCTTAGCTCTTTTCCAGTCAAGCATTTTCACCCTTGACTGTACTTTGTCCTTGTTCATGAGTAATCTAAATCTAATAATATTATGGTCACTGTTACCTAGATGCTCCCCTTCCAAAACTTGTTCAACCTGACCTACTTAATTCCCTAGGAAAAGATCCAACGCTTCCTTCCTTGTAGGACTGGAGACATACTGGTCCAGAAAATTTTCCTGTACACAGCTGATGAATCTTTCTCCGGCCTTGCCCTTAACGCTGCTATTTTGCCAATCTATATTGGGATAATGAAATCTCCCATTTTGACAACTCTGTTTGCCCTACATCTGTCCGTGATCTGGTTGCAGATCTGCTCTTCTATCTCCTTCCCGCTATCTGGTGGTCTATAGTAAACCCCTATCAGTGTAACCACTCCTTTCCTATTTCTGACCTCTAACCAGATTGATTCTGGTCTCGTCCCTTTCTACAGCTACAATTGTATCCTTAACTAATATTGCCACACCTCCAACCTTCTCTATCCTTCCTGAACACATTATATCCTGGAATATTTATCTCCCATTCCTGTCCTGGCTTGAGTTACTGCTACCACATCGTAACCCCTTACGGCCAGTTGAACCTGCAGCTCATCAACCTTATTCCCTAAGCTCCGTGCATTTAGGTACATGCATTTGAGGAAATTGTCCACATGTACCTGCTCTATATTTCCCACTTGTCTTTTTCCTCTATTCCCTAATCTATTGTGTATCCTGGGATACTCACCCCCCTTCGCCACCAATTTAAATTAGCCGCCCCAGCATTCGATAATCTCTTGGCCAGGAAGTTAACCCCTGCCTTGCTTAAGTGCCGCCCATCCGCAAGGTAATGATCCCACCTCCCCCAGTAGTGGTCCCAATTGTCCACAAAACGGAAACCTTCTTTTCTGGACCATTTTTCCAGCTAGTCGTTCATACGCCTGATCCTTCCATTATGGTGCCCCGTTGCCTGAGGCACCAGGAGTAACCCAGAGATCACCACCTTGGATGTTCTGGCCTTGAGTTTGTTCCCCAACTTTTGATACTCGCCCTAGAGTATCTCAGCCCTCTTCTTGGGTCCCCACATGGACCACGACTTCTGGACATTCTCCTTCCCCCTGAAGAATCTTGTCCACACGCTGGGTACGTCCACTACCCTCACACCAGGAAGGCAGCAAACCATCCTAGCCTCACGATTCTTATGACAGAAGATCCTGTCAGTGCCTCGTACTGTTGAATCCCCTATCAGAACAGTGTTGCCCGTGTGATCCATGCCCCTGTCCTGTTGGAGAGAATGTTCACTGCTGTCCTCACGGGAGGTTTCCACGCTCCTAATTGCTAAGGCTGAGTACTGATTTGAGACCGGGACTCTGTTGGGGGTGCTCTGCCTTGCACAAGCCCTCTTCTTTCCCCATCGCAATGTCACCCAATCACTTTTAGCATGTGGCTGTGTGTTGGGCTCCTTTGGGAGTGGTCCTGTTCCTGAACTCTGACCTCCCAATGGTTCCAGTACCCCTCTCTCATGGTTCCTATACAGTGATGGTCTGCTATCAGTAAGTCCTAGGGGAATGAGGGTCTCCTCCACCGTACCATCCAGGAACCTCTCACTGTCCCTAATGAGCGCAGTGTTTGCACCTGGGCTTCCAGCTCAGCTACTCTCAGCTGAAGCTCCCTAACTTCCAGACACTTGCGGCAGATGAAGTCGCCCCGGCTTAAGGCGCCCTCCATCGACTCCCACATGTGACAGACCTCGCAGTTTACCTGCCACACCATCTTCACTATCTTTATATAGATACAAAGATATATAGCCTGCCCCCACTTTCCCCTCTGCACCTAATTCCCACTCTCACCAAATTCCCTCACACTCTGGCCTCAGGTCGAGTGAGGCTCTCGGAGCTATCTCCTATTTATACTTTCTGGGTTCAACCCGTTTCTGATTTGCTCAGCAGTAATTTGGAATTAACACCTAATCAAGTGATTAATCAATAAATTAAGTTAATCAATAAGTTACTTGTTATTGGCTAGGCCTAATTGACTACTGCTGCTCCCTGTAAAGTTACCACACAAGACCAATGTACCAATGGTATCAGCAATTTTAACTAACACAAGACTTAAAACAACTACAACTACTACAAGACTTGAATAATAACAACAACAAATTGGGTTATGTACTCACGATAGCAGTTCTCAAGACACCCACAGCAGCAATTCCCACTCTTACCAAATTCCCTCACATTCTGGCCTTGCCTCACTCCGGACGTAGCTCACTCTGGGCTCTTGGCTCGAGCTCCAGGGGCTCCAAGAGCTCCAGGGACTCCAAGAGCTCCAGGGGCCCACATCTTCCAATTGTGCATAGCAGTGTCCCACAAACAGTCGTGAATTGAGTGACAAACTTTTTATTTAATTTTTTCTTGCGGGATTCTTATCAGGCACGTGGAATAAGGAGACTTGCACAAGATTTTGCCCTGCCGGGAATCGAACCCAGGTCTCTCGCTTGTGAGGCGAGTGCTCCGACCACTGAGCTACAGGACTCCAAAAATACTAATATACCAAAACATTTAATTTCCAAATATGCACAATTTCTGTAGTAATGTTGACAGCTTACCATTCCAGATGTGTGCACTGAAGGGAAGTACTGTACTGAAGCCTTTCCACCTATCTTGTGGGAGTAAAAGAAAACATACAGACATGGAGAGCAAAGCATATGTCTCTGTTGCACAGCAGGTGGAAGAATTTCAACGTCGCACACCATCACATTATCATTTGAGAAGCAAGCAACTTGTGGAAGAAGGTAAATGGGATTTCAACCAAACTCGGTGTTGTTTGTATGATTGCCACCATATCTTCAGCTCTGTGGTTATAAAACTATGCTAGTCTGTCATTGCAGGATCCACCAGCTGAATGGAGGGGAGGGGGCGCGGGAGAGTCACGAGTGACATTGACTAGCTCGGCCCAACCTTATTGAATGTTCAAAAGTGACATGTCAGTAGAACCATTCATACTGCTGAATCACTGTTAATGTGACACTAATTGGCTCCTTGATGATGAAGGAATTGCTTTCCTCTAATCTAGAGTGGGAGTCCTTTAGGCTATAATGTACTCTATACAATTCAGATATCTTTCTAAAGACAGCTTATTAGCATCCAGGAAACTCTTGTACTGTCACTTGGATAGTCTCATTTCTCCTCTTCAGCCATGTCAGGAATTGAGCTTCTACTTGGTGCTGTCACTCCAATGCAATGCTGGAGTCTGTATCATAACATAGTTATAATCCATGACACTATTGGAAAACAGCAGAGGGCTTTTCCCTGGATGCTGGCAACAATTCTCAACCATTTGTCATCCACCTTAATAATAATAATAATCCTTGCATTTGATATAGCGCTTTTCACGTCGGGAGGACGTCCCAAAGCGCTTCACAGAACACACTGTAAAGTGAATTGACTGTATATTTGTGGGCGAACGCGGCAGCCAATTGCGCACAGCAATAATAATAATAATAATAATCCTTGCATTTGATATAGCGCTTTTCACGTCGGGAGGACGTCCCAAAGCGCTTCACAGAACACACTGTAAAGTGAATTGACTGTATATTTGTGGGCGAACGCGGCAGCCAATTGCACACAGCAATGTCCCACAAACAGTCGTAGATTGAAAATGACCAATTTATTATTGTTTGGGGTTTTGGAGGGATTATTATTAGGCTCTGTGTGGAGTAAGGAAACTTGCCCGAGGTTTCGCCCTCTGCCTGGAATTGAACTCAGGTCTCTCGCTTGCAAAGCGAGTGCTCTAACCACTGAGCTCCACCTTGTGGCTATTTATGGAACTTACTGGTGCAGGGGTCTGTTTACAAAAATAGCCATGACAAGACCATAAATTTGTGAGTGGGTTTCAACATTTCACTATAAAGTTTTATTTTTTTTCCAACGTGCACCATTGAAGCCTTTTTTATGTTCATTGCTATATTCTAGAACATGCATAAAGTTTAGTTTGTCAATTTTCTTGCTTTTAAATGCCAACTGTTGGCGATGTGGTGCCATGAGCTCCACTGTCAGATGGTGATGATTTGTAAAGGCTTTCAGAAATTGCTAATGTACCCATAATTCTCAATCGGTTATTGATTTTCTGTGCGGCTCCCAGTCTCAGTTTTGAACATCAGTATTGTTCAATTGACACGTTTTAGCTGACTTAACCGATTATTAATATATATACGCATACGGATGGGTATGATTTGCCATGGCAGGAAGTGCTAGTAATAATCCTTGCATTTGATATACAGCTTCCATCATGTTGTTGAGATGTCTTGAAACATTTCACAGAATAAATTGTAAAGTGGATTGACTGCATATTTTGTGGATGAAATGCATCAGCCAATTGCGCAATGTCCTACAAACAGTCATGGATTGAGCGACTTTTTTGCAAGGCAAGTGCGCAGGACTCTAGGAATATTGAAATTTAACATAGTTATAGATATACAATTTTCTGTATGCTCTCATGTCTATCTTTCCAATACAAAAGCGCTAAAGAAAGGTTAAAAATTACTTATTAATATACCAATTCTTTGGTTAGAAGTGAATGGTTTGGTTTCCAGGTTTGCTTCCTGAGGTTTCAATCACTTGAGTAACTTCTGTAGTTTTCTAAAGCACTGATTTTGGTCATTGCTGCTGCTTCAGTTACAGATTCAAAGCTCAAGAACTAAACCCCAGAATCCTGGAAGGTGGTCCCAGAGAAGCCACCGGTGAACGAACCCACAGAGCTTATTGGCTTTCGCTTGGAGACCGACAATCGTATCAGGAAGCGGGAAGAAAATCGCAAGCCCGAGGATCAGGAGCAGTACTTTTTCCATCCCTGTCCGTGCCCCATCCGGATGCTGGAAGATGTTGTGGTGAGGATATTATGAGCTGAGATGCATTGCAGAATAGGAGCTATTGTTTCTATTATTCAAGAGACATGCATTTAGTTGTAATTTTTTTTAATATCCTAAAAATTGACTAGATTTTCTTCCAGGGAGTTCCAGAAAAGAGTAAGCTACCATTGACAGTGCCTCATTCTCCAGTTTTTGCAGTGAAAAGCCGTACAAGAATTCCACTTAAAGAGGAGCAGGTAGGGTGCTGTGACACGCTTCTGGAAAAATAATCCTGAGGTTGTGACTAGAGGATGACTGGGAAAGAGCCTATTTTTATGATTATAATCCATGCTGGTGCAGCAAACAGCTTTCACTTATTTAATTTGCTTCATGTACCATAACATCAAAGTGCTTCTTTCTATTAAACTTGTAGGAAGAAAAGCTAGTAAAGCAGATTAAGATAAACACTATGCCACACTGTGCCGTCCCATTCAAGCCAAAACCCCTGGAAGAGAAGAATGTAGAAATACAGCCATTCTCATTTGAGGCTCAGGACAACGAGAGGCAAACACTGAAGGAAAAGAAACTGCAAGAAATCCGTAAAGAGATGGCTGAGGTAAGTGTGGTCAACTTTCTCACCAGTTTAGCCATCCTGGAGTCCTGTAGCTCAGTGGTTAGAGCACTCGCTTTGCAAACGAGAGACCTGAGTTCAATTCCAGGCAGAGGGCGAAACCTTGGGCAAGTTTCCTTACTCCACAGAGCCTAATAATAATCCCTCCAAAAAACCAAAAACAATAATAAATTGGTCATTTTCAATCTACGACTGTTTGTGGGACATTGCTGTGCGCAATTGGCTGCCGCGTTCGCCCACAAATATACAGTCAATTCACTTTACAGTGTGTTCTGTGAAGCGCTTTGGGATGTCCTCCCGGCGTGAAAAGCGCTATATCAAATGCAAAGATTATTATTATTATTATTATTATTATCCTAGCAAAACTGTTTACCTAGCAGCAAGTAAGAACCCGGTTGTTAGCCGATTGGTAGATCACTTTTCTGGAGTTAATAATTCCTTCAAGAAATTTTTTTTAATTGTCGCTCAATGCACAACTGTTTATGTGACTACTGTGCGCGATTGGTTTCTGCGTTTTGCCCACCAATTATACAGTCAATTCACTTTACAGTATATTCTGTAAAGTACTATGAGAAGTCTTGAAAACGTGATAAATTGCTATATCAAATGCAAGGATTATTCTGTCAGTTTTAATTACCAATCACTTTAACACACAAATTGCATAGCTAGATTCTGAGGGATTTATGTCTTATTAAATGAACAACGTGCAATTAAACTCCCACTAATATCAGGTTTGGGTCTATAGATTCAGACCCACTACTATCATAACCAGTCTTTTGAAAATAGCTGCCATTGGCATCTCTTTTTTCATGTGTGCTCTGCCAGAGGGAAACCGCCTGTGATGCTTCTGCTTATTATGCAGGATGCAGGCAGTCAGAGGTGGAAGGTTGCTATGAAATTGGTAACTATAAACGGTTATAGCATGTGGGGCATTGTCGTATGTTCTGACTGTATTTCAATATTTTTAAATAATAGACAATAGACTATAACCTGCAAGAAATGGCTAAAACTTCCTTCCATTACCTTGTATAGGTCCCTACATTTAAAGCGCAGCCACTTCCTGACTTTGACTTGGCTCAGTTACCAGAGAAGGTGGTGAAGTCTCCAACTAAACTCCAGCCTTTCCATCTACGCATAGAAGAGAGAGGGGTTGTTCAAGCAGAACGCTGGACGCAGATGGTAAGCAAACTCTTGAGAAAGATTGGCTAAATATCTGCTGACCACTTGGTCTACACTCTTTGTATGAGCTTTGTTCTGTACGTGTATGTTCTGTAGATGTTGCGTAATTTAAAAACTGCACCGGATTGTACAGCTTTCATCAGTGAAGAATCCGATAAACTATTTGTTTTTCTCCACAATGCTTCCAGATGTACAGTCAATTCACTTTACAGTATATTCCGTGAAGCACTTTGAGGTGTCTCAAAGATGTGATCTGGCACTATATCAAATGCAAGGCTTATTTATTTATTACCCAGATTATCATATGTAGATCCTCGGATTCAACAATCTTGGTGCCTTTGAGAACGTTGATGTGTAAGATTTCTGTGGCCTCCCTGTTCCAAGTGAATGGAGTGTGTCTATTGCTACTGTCTGCCTCTGCTTCCCAGTTAATGAGTTAAGAATCATTCAGCATCTTGGCTCTGTATCTAATCGATTAGTGGGATGAGTGAGAGCTGCTGTGGAATGACCTTCTATCTGCTGTAATGCATGATGAGAAAACTAAGCGGAAGTTTAATGAGAGTTTGGTTTCTTTGAATAGATGAAAGAAGAGCTCAGGCAACAAAAGGAAGCTGCATGTTTTAAAGCCAACCCCAGCTCTGCTATTTGCCGAGAGCCATTCATGCCAAAGAAAGCAGAGCGATCACTGACAGGTATTGTGTGCTTTAAAGTTTTGCCAAATGGTCTGATATTATAAACTATAGTCAGGTAACTAGCTTTCAGATTGTTGTTAAAATTCACAGTATTTCATCTTCAAAGTAATCCCAGTACAAGTGCAAGTCCTCCCACCTGCCCCCTTCCATAGATTTCGGGCTGGTGTGTGTTGGATGCAGTATTATAAATGGCGGGGGGGGGGTGTAATCATAGGAGCATCTTGTTGTCTGATGTGCCAGTGATCAATCTTCTCGTTAATAAAAGCTCTTATTGGCACAGGGCCTTTTGTGACAAAGGAAAGGCAATTTGGTTATGCGTGTGGTGCTGATAACTGTTTGGGTAGAAATTTGAAGGACAAAGGATTGTCTGATGTAATAGTATTCCAGCTCTTCAGTCTGCACAATATTTCCTTCTTGACGTTCACTTTTTCTGTGTCACAATTTGCTGAGTTATTTGAGCCTTTGTCTCCCAACTTAGAGAAGCTTTCTGTTTCTGTATTTCAGGAAAGCTTTGAGCCGGCAACTGAGAAGAGAGCAAAAGAACGTATGGAATTTGAGAAGTACAAAGCTGATAAAGAGGTGATGCGAGAGCAGGCAGAACAGGAAAAGCAGAATCGAAAAGAGGAGCAAGAGAGAAAAGAAATTGCACAACTTCGTCATGACAAGGTAAGTTGTTGGACTTAAAGGGCAAAGAGGAATGAGGGTGACCAAGCCAGGACCAATATTGTATACTCAAATAGACTTGTTTCACCATTGAGAATCAACTGATGATATTGCAGCTTATGTCACAAATATCACAAATCCTTCACAGATTTACTGTAGAGTTTTGCAGGTGAACTTGATAGACAGTTTGTGCACAGCAATGCCTCACAAACAGATATGAACTGAACAACCAATTTTATTTGGGGATTATTGATCAACTGGGAGAAACTATTCTCTTTTTGAATCGTGCCATCATTACCATCCATCTAAAAACAGGCAAATTGGGACCTTGGTTTAACATCTCATCTGAAGGACAATGTAGTGCGTTCCACCAATTCACTGGAGTGTCAGCATTTGAACATGAGCTTAAAGTCTCTAGATTAGCAGTTGTAGCGCAGGAGGCTAAGCTTTCTAACCTTCTAGAAGAGCGATCTGTTTTGTACAGTTGCTGCAATCGTGCACTTTCAAGAAAGAGCTATTGGGGTAAGAATTGGGCAGAACCCTGACTGAAGACTGCCTCTTCTCTTTCACGTGTGCTCTGCTGAGATCAGACCATCTTCCCTCAGTGTATCAACTCGGCTCAGTGGTTGCTCTTGCCTCCAAGTCAGAAGGTTGTGAGTTCAGGTCCGACTTTGGGATATAGAATGACACATTGTAAGCTGATTCTCCAATATAGTACTGGGGTAGTGCATTGTCAGAGGTGTCGTCCTTCTGATGAGATATAAACCCTGATCAGGTTTAAGATTCCAAGGCACTATTCAAAAAGGAGAAAGAAGTTTTTCTCTCTCGCGGTGTCCTGACCAACAATTCCCATTATAAAATTGCTCACTCTCTTCATGGCTGTTTGTAGGACACTACTGTGTGCAACTGGCTAACCACAATGTTAATGGATGTGAAGGCCCCCCATTAAAAGTAATAGGTGTAACAATTCCCAGATCAGTAATTTATTGTGACAACTGCAAATCTCCATGGACCAACCTTTTGAGGCTGGAGGACAAACGTTTGGGTTGAGTGCATCCCAGACTTCCCAATGGGAACGGTCTTCCACTCGGCTGGAGGAATACATCACAAGTGAATGTTGCTCAATTTATCTTTAACAATCTTTGGTCTGGGAGATTGAGCGGCTGTGTGGATTTTGCTGAATGGCAGGTTTGTTTGGTATTAACGAGTGGAGTCCTGTAACTTAATGGTTAGAGCACTCGCCTAGCAAGCGAGAGGACCTGGGTTTGATTCCCGAGCAGCGGAAACATTAGGCAAGTTTCCTTGCTCCACATGTCTCTGTTTACTTAGCAGTAAGTAGGAACCTGGTTGTTAGTTCATTGGTGAATTGCTTTTCTGTAAATAATAATCCCTTCAAAACATTATTTTAATAAATAATTTGGTTCCCTCCTACCTCTCTGACCTACTATCCCCCTACTTCCCTGCCCGTACCCTCTGTTCCTCTGGCTCCGGTCTGCTCCACATCCCCCGCCCCAACATTGGTGGCCGGGCCTTCAGCCTCTCAGCCCCGAGGCTCTGGGACTCCATCCCCCAGTGGCTTCGCCTTGCTTCCTCCCTTTCCTCCTTCAAGGCCGGTCTCAAGACCTTTCTCTTTGACCTTCAGCTCCCCTCTCGACTCTCTACCCCCTCCCTCGCTCCCTCCCTTCCCTCCCCCCACCCTGACCATTTCCCCCCTGCTCGGGTCCTGACCCAACTGTGCAGCGCCTTGGGACATCCTCCCGATGTGAAAGGCGCTCTATAAATGGAATCTTGTTGTTGTTGTTGTTGTGGTTACTCAATCCACTGTTATTTATAAAATACTGCTGTGTGCAATTGGCTGCTGTCTTTCACCCATAAAATAGTTTGTTCACTTTATAGTATATTTTTTGAAGTGTTTTGAGATGTCTCTGACATACAACGTTATATCGAATACAGGGCTTATTATTAGTGAGGATTTTTTTCTTTTTGCAATTTTCCCATTGCTGGGAATATTAAAGAATCCTAACACTAGTGTCTCTGCAGATACACAAAGCAAACTCTGTCCGTCATTACAAGAAAGTCGAAATTCAGCCCAGCGAGCAACAGCTTACCGTTCCAACCACCCCAAACGTTTCCGATAGGTTTCGTCTGTAACGCGCCTGTTTGTCTTTCTGTTCTTATCTGGAAACTCAAGTATTTGAAACTGTCACAATTTCTTTGACAAGTACCATAAGCTCTACTTTAACCTGTTTTAATATTTATAATAATAATCCTTGCATTTGATATAGCGCCTTATCACGTCTTCGAGACATCTCGAAGCGTTTCACAGAATATACAGTAAAGTGAATTAATTGTACATTTTGTGGGCGAAATACGATAGCTAATTGCACACATCAGTGTACCACAAACAGTTGTTGATTGAGTGACCAATTTATTATTTATTTTTGAAGGAATTATTAACCCCCGAAAAGCGATCCGCTACTCGACTACAACCAGGTTCCAACTTACTGCTCGGTAAACAGAAGCGTGGAGCAAGGAAACCTACCAAACATTTTGCCCTGCCGGGGGAATCGAACCCGGGTCTCTCGCTTGTGAGTGCTCTAACCACTGAGCTACAGGACTCCATTCATTGGAAAATACTGTATACAGGTATACATACCTGTCTTTCATAAGCAAACTGAAAGCAAAAGCAAGAAGGAAGAAATTGTGTCCTGGCCAACAATCCCCCAAATAAAATTGGTCACTCACTTCTTGGTTGTGTGTGGGATATTGCTGCGGTCAAATTGGCTGCTGTGTTTGCCCCCAATAGTCAGTCACTACGCTTTATAATAAACCCCGTGACGCACTTTGAGATGTTCTGACATCATAATGTGATATATCAAATGCATAGATTATTGTTAATAGAACTTGAGTTGGATAAACAATGGTCATATTTATTAGCTTTCTCTGTAGAATATGAAGATCTTAGAGTGAACTGTTGAAAATGTCTGTTTATTAGTCCACATGATGTGGAATTTTCTGGATTAGTCAGTCTTAATTTGGTAAATTTTAATTATTTTCTCTTTGTCTGCAGTGCAGAGAACCCTTCCAAAGAGATGATGTGATTTTCCTGAATGGGAGTAAAGAAGAAATGGAAATTCTTAAGAGAAGAGTGGAGGAACGGAAATTGAAAGCCAAGCTGGAGAGGGTAACTGCGCAGTAAACTTCACACAAGGTGTATAATTTGGGACCCAAACATTTTGGGACCCAAAGTCATTTAGATAACTTAACTGACGTCCGATTTCCAGGCAAACTGTATAAATAGTATAAAACCTAATTTAATCAATAATCTATACTGTGCATGAGTAATTCAATGCAGCCGCTAAGTGTAGAAGGAATAGAGGGTAGGGACACGGAGTTCCAAGTTAGGAGGTGATTAATACAACCAAGTGGTTTTGATAAGAAACTGAATGGAACTCTGGTGAGTGAATGTACGTTTTGGTCGTTTACACGATTTATAAAGATCAGACTTGTGTGAGTTTTACTGTGTTTGTGTGTTTGTGAAGAGATATATATATATTGTCCCTTCACTTTGAACTTGGGCAAAAGGTTAAGATTCAAGGAGTATAAATCAACTGAATCCTAATAATATGCACAAGACCAAAAACGATCGTCCCAAACCCTCGGGGCACTTCCATAATTCAAACAACAACAACTTGTACTTGTATAGCGCCCTCCATACAGGGCAGCATCTCACAGCGCTTAACAATGGCGGAGCTGAACTCCGGTGTGGGGTGGTGGAGGTGACCGTAATCATGGTCGAAAAGGAAGGTTTTCAGGTGGGACTTGAAAAGGGGGAGAGAGGGGCAAGGCGGATGGATTGAGGGAGAATGTTCCAAAGTTTGGGGGCGTAGTGGCTGAAAGCGTGACCTCCGATGGTGGGGCAGAGGGTGCGAGGGACAAGCAGGAGGCCGGTGCCAGTCAAGCGGAGGCGCCGGGTGGTGGATTAGGAAGTGAAGAGGTCGTAGAGGTAGGGAGGTGCCAGAGAGTGGAGCAATTTGAACACGAGAGTGAAGATCTTGAAGTCAATCCGTACGGTGATGGGGAGCTAGTGGAGCCTGGGCCAGAACTGGTGAGATATGGGGACGGAGTTTGGTCAGGGTCAGTATGCGGGCGGCAGAGTTTTGCACGAGCTGATCTTGTGAATGGTGGAGCTGGGAGACCGGCGAGAAGTGCGTTGGAGTAATCCAGGCCGGAGGTGACAAACGCATGCACGAGGGTTTTGGCTGCATTTGGGGTAATGTACGGTCGGAGACGGGTAATGTGGTGGAGGTGGAGGAAGGCGGTCCTGGTCAGGGACTAGATGTGGGCAAGGAAGGACAGCTGGGGTTCGAACCAGAGGCATGGATTGCGCACGGTTCGATGAGTCTGAGGGAGAGTCCAGAGAGGTTGAGGAGTTTAGATCTGTAGGAATAAAGACTTTGACAGGGGCCGAGGAGTATGGCTTCCGTCTTGTCCACATTCAGCTGCAGGAAGTTTGCACTCATCCAGGCCCTGATGTTTGCCAGACAAGCTGATAGCACATCAGCGGATCTGGAGTCGATACTGGAGGAGGAAAAGTAGATTTGTGTGCCCTCCGCATACATGTGGAAGTTTACCCCGTGTCTGCAGGTGACATCACCCAGAGGGAGCAGATAGATTAGGAAAAGAAGGGGGCTAAGAATGGAGCCCTGGTGTATCCCGCAAGTGACCGGGTGGAGAAACCATTTGCCGAAATGAAATGGAGACGGATGGTTAAGTAGGAATCAAGCCATGGGAGCATGGTACACTAAGGTGGATGAGGGAGGAGAGGCGGTAGAGGAGGATGGTGTGGTCAACTGTGTCAAAGAGAGAGATCCAGGAGGACGAGGAGGCAGAGGAACCCTGATCACAGATAGAGAGGATGGGAAGTCGTTTGTGACTTTGATAGGCACTATCTCTGTGCTATGGGCAGTCAGGACAAAAATCAGACTGGAGGGGCTCGAGGAGGAAGTGGAGGGAGAGGTGTGATCAAAGTTCACTGCAACAATGTGTTCCAGTGTTTTATGTGGGTGATTGTAGTTGAGAGGGAGGAGGGAGAAATGGGGGTTTAGGAGTGGCAGGAGCCGTGGCGGAGGGAGAAGGCGGTGTGGATGATCTGGTTGAGGTGGAAGGGGACATTGTTGGGGTGGAAGGAGGATGCAGCCATACGGATGTTTTCAATTTTTGAAATCTAAGACCTGTCAGAATACCGTATATAATTTAGGACACAAGATGTCAAGTGACTGCCAGGATGGTGGAAGGCGACATAGATGGATCTTGGTTTTTTTTTGCCTAGCAAATTCTTATTTTCTTATTTCTCACCCCAGGTTGCAGATTGTGGCTGCATATTATTCACATATTCATTATTTTCCTGTTTTGCAGAAAGCAAAGACGTCAAAGACCATATCTAAACCTGCTGCTACTGAAGGTAATTAGTTAAATGAATTGTTAGCCGCAAAAAAATCAATAAAGCGAGGGGCTTAAATCCAATAAATCATTCTGTAAAGGACAGATTTCTGTCAAAGTTGCTTATTAGAAGCTGGTGCTTAATGAAAACTGTGTCCTGGAAGGAGGAGACATAAAAACATAAGTACATAAAAAATTGACCTCATGGCTGCTGGTTGGATATTAGACATTGATTAGTATCGGGTGGTTTGCTGTTGTATCAAAATTAAGGATTCTTGTATTGTTCCTATTTTCTTCCCACATGAATCCTGCTCGGTGCTTGCTCCCTCATACCCACCCGCCTCCTCTCCTGATCTCCCAGCTCTATTGCCTTGCCGTCTGCTAACAGATGTTATCAATCTCTCCATGTCCACTTGTGCAGTTCCCACTTCATTTGAATCTGCTGTCACCCCCTCTTCACAAAAATCCCTTCCTTAATTACCATCCCACCTCTAACCTGCCAACAACATTCTCTCCTCATTCTTATCTGTAACCAGGGCTCTCTGTATCTTCTTGTACTCCTTGATCTCTCTCCAGGCTTCAATGTTGTCAACCACTATCCTTTTACACCACCTCACCTCTCAACTCCACCTTCACAGTTTGGTCCTCTCCTGGTTTCACGCTTACACATCCCAACTTTGCCTACCCTTTCACAGTTACTTCAGGGCTCTGTCCTCAGTCCTCTTTAATATCTACATGCTCCCGCTCGGTGATGTCTTCTACAGACATGGGGTTATCTTCCATATATATGCAGATGACACCCAAATATGTGGTGAATGGATGGATGAAGGTTTCAGCAGCCTGATGGGAGAGATGTTGGAGGAACCGTGCGATGTTGTGGAGATGGGGAAGGCAGAGCGGGTCACGGCATGGATGAGGGGTAGAAAGGACAATTTGACAAGGGTCAAACAAGATGGGAGAGTTCCGGACTGGTTCAGCGAGATAGAGTGTGCATCCCTGGATGCTGCCAATGCCTGAGGTGTGGAGGCACTATCTTGTCCCCTCCCACCTGTGCCATCTCAACTCATACCGATCCGGCTGCTCTCCACACAAAGCTTCCTCTGCAACATCGGGCTTTTCTCCAAATACACTGTTACTACACTTGGTAGCAATTTCCTGTGAAATACTTTGAGACAAAGTCACTGGATCAGATGCAAAGAGGATTGTAGTATTAGGAATTAAAGCCCTTAACCCTATTGTCTCGATCTTTTGCAGGTTTAAATACTTTTGTTACTTTGTGCATAGAAATTCCAGAGTCATCAAGCACAAAGTCCGAAGAAACAATCACCAGTGAGCAGTGAGCACACTATTTCTGAAACAGACAGAACCAGATACCATCACCGCCTACTTTAGTTGTAAATCCAGGAGATTAAATTTCTTTCCTCTATGTGGACTTTTTCTCTAGGATCTCTTCCTAATTCTGCCGAGACTCCAGTGGCACTTGTGTGATTTTAATCCTGGTGGTATTGAAAGTGAAAATGTTTAATTGGTGATGGGATCAGACTGAAGTGGTGAGACTTACCTCAGGCCCAGAGCTCACACTAATTATTGCTCAAACGCGCTTCCAATTGTCTACTGGTGGCTTTACTCTCATGAAAACTCTTCATTTTGCTTAATAAATCTCACAAAGGATTCTTCATTGTCATCTTCTGTAGCAACACATCTAACAGCAGCTCACACACATGAGGAAACAATCAGCAAGTGCACCAGCGAGGCCCAGAGCACAATCATTCTGTCAGGAAAGCAGTGGTCCTGGGGTTGAGGCAGAAAGATAGTTGGTTGTTACACACATGCAGAGCACAGCACCCCCCCACGCACACACACACTTTTCTGTAACTTAGGGTGCAGTTATTTGTGTTTTTTAGCAGCTGATTCACACCACATCCTACAAACAGCTTCTCAGTGAATAATCCACTCTGCAGTGATGGCGGGCGGTGCTGCACTTTATTTTGTTCCACCAAGCGCTCTAGGACTCTGCCCTGCGCGAGGGGCGCTATATAATTGCAGATTATTGTTACTCATTACATTTCAAAGTTTATTATTATTTTCTAGGTTGTAGCTCTTGCAGCTGAGCCCGGCTCGTCAATGCTGTGTGAAACATTGATTATATTGAGATGTGGGATACGAACCGACTGTCTGCTTCTGTCCAGACCAGTTTAAACTCATTGATTTGGAGTCAGAACATGTTTATGTGGTTCGGGGTCTGTGTGTGTGGGACCTGTGTCCAGGGGGGAGACTATGTTTGGAGGCTTGTCACACGCATGGAACATGCACGGATGTGGGGTCGAAAGGACAGTTGCGGGTTAAACAAGACGCCAAGGTTCTGGACCGGCTCAGTGAGGTGGAGTGTGCATCCCTGAATGGTGATGCTGTCAGTGCCTGAGGTGTGGAGGAGCTGACCTGAGCCATACACACAGCCACACACACAACCCCCGGTGTAGCATCCTGTTAGTGTAGGAAAGGGTTAACCTGTAAATCAGGCACTCAGCAGGTAATATCAATGACATGATTGGCCACCAGACAGTCTGGGCTATGGTGCAGGTATAGAAAGGTACCTTTTCTACCGGATGTGCTGAAACAGGTGAAAAAATCATCTGCCCAACCTGGTTCAACATATAAACATGTAGATACTTGAAGCTTCAGTTGTGTTGATTCAGGACCGAGAGTTGGTTTCTTTTTGGGGGTGCTATGGGGAGAGAATGGGGTTGGCCTATTTGGCTTGAATGGCAGCCTCCTGTGCTGTATAATTCTATGATTCTGCCCCAAACCAGGAATGTTATTGGAAACCAGCTGTTTATTTAAACGGAGGCAGAAGCTGAACCGAGTGGCTTTGACCAACAGCTGTGATAAGGGTTGGGGTTCAAATCATAATAATAATCGTGGCGTTTGACCCAGAGCCTGATCACGTCATTGAGATATCTCAAAGCGTTTCAGAGGACATGCTGTAAAGTGTGGTGACTGTTTGTGTTTTGCAGGCAAAACAAAACATAAGCAAGAAAACTGAATCGGTAAATCTCTGAACCAGCAGCTGATTCGCTAAACGAATCAATAGAAAATTGTGTGATTATTGTAAACTAATCAATATAAAACCATGTGAAGTCTGTGAACCAGTCAATAGCAAAGAAACCCATGTGCTGATACTGGTTACAGCTGTGAAGAGTAGATCAACTGGACCTTGTGAGGAATGGGATTCCTTTATTGGCCACATGATAGAACTGACCTTTGGGTATTTAACCCAGAGGCTGAGCGCAGTAACAGCCCAACCGTCGGAGGAAGGAGTCACCTCATCAGCTCAGAGAAAGCAGATGAGTTGCTGGAGGCTTGTGGTTCAGAGCAGTGAAATGGTCAGTTTGTGTGTGGTGGATTGGCTCGGGATGGTCTCTCTATGGACTATATAAGGTAAGTCTGTATTTGTGAGAACCTTCAGGTGGACTGTAAACTACCTGTAATGTTGATTCTCCTTAAAGTGGTGAAGGGAAAGTGTCCAAACCTTGGGTGTTGTCTCCTGTGAGCTTCAGAGACATTATCACTGTCCACCTGTCCTTGATGTAAATTGTGACTAACCCTTAGCCAGTTTGGCTTTTCCTTTTATTGTATAATGTGTCTCAAAAACAATTGCTATTATTTTGTTCCTATCTGGAGTCTGGAGACAACTCCCACCAGAGCCTGCTTTGCTGTTCCTTAATTCTACCCATAGTGTTTCCACAGCCTGATCACTTTACTAAAGTCCTTTCTATCTACTGCTGTACTTGAGTGTTATCCATATTGCTCTTCCTCCTTTCCCAATTTTCCTGTCCTTTCTAAAGATCTTACAGCCTGGAATATTTAGCTCCCACTAATGCCCGGCTTGTAGCCAGGTCTCTGTAATGGCTACTACATCAGACCCTTTCAGCTGAATTTGTGTTTCTAACATGTTTTATTTTTTATGCTATGAACTTGTGGATAGACACTTAAGATAACTATCCTCATTTGCCCATATGGCCCAATGGTGTTTTTCTCGTTTTTTTTGTTTATTTCCTAAAAAAAATTTCTTTCTGGAGAAATTGATATCACTTTGTTTTCTAATCTTTGCTCTTCTTTCTTTAGTTTACTGTTTCCACTTGAGTCAGAGGTTGTTAGTGGACATCCTTGACATGAAAGGCATTCTATAAATGTAATTTTGTTGTTGTCCTGGAACCAGTGCAGGTTTGTGTTGATCTTGAACGCTGGGCTAATGTTCGTTCGTACCACATGAGAGCTGGATTTCCATATGTCAATGAACTTTGGAGACCTTGTAGATTGTGACCACTCTTGGCCAGTCTGGACCAGGGTTCTCTCTATCGCACTCTCTATTACAATCATTCTCCTCTTTTCTGTCACACTTTCTCTTACAAACTTTTCCCTCTCTATTAGAATCTTTCTCCTCTATTACACTTTCTCTCCATTGCAATCTTTCTCCTTCTCTGTATCACACTTTCTATTGCAATCTTTCCTTCTCTGTATCACACTTTCTCTCTATTGCAATCTTTTTCCTTCTCTGTATCATACTTTCTCTCTCTTCTCCAATCTTTCTAACACACTTTATCGCATCTTTCTCCTCTATTGTAATGTTTCTCCTCTCTATCACACTTTCGCTCTAACACAATCTTTCTGCCTCTCTTTCACAGTTTGTCTTTTTCCTTCATTCTAACACACTTTCTCTCTATCAGAATTTCTCTCCATCTCTCTATCAAACTGTCTCTCTATTGCAAAGTTTATCCTCTCTATCGTACGTTGTCTCTCTATTAAAATTATCTTTCTTTCTGATACACTTTCTCTCTCCATTAGAATATTTCTCCTCTCTATCACACGTTCTCTCTCTTAAATCTTTGCCCTCTCTATGACTATTTCTATCAGAATCTTTCTCCTCTCTATTACAACCTTTTCCATCTCTGTCACTTTCTATCAGAATCTTTCTCCTCTCTATCACACTTTTTCTCTGTTGCAATCTTTCTCCTCTGTCACACTTTCTCTCTACCGCAATCTTTCTCCTCTCTATCACACTTTTCTCTGTTGCAATCTTTGTCCTCTCTATCACACTTTCTCTCTATTGCAATCTCTCTCATACTTTCTATCTATCGCGATCTTTCCTCTCTCTATCACACTTTCTCTCTTGTGCAATCTTTCTCCTCTCCATCATACTTTGTCTCTCTCTATTCCAAGCGTTGCCCTCTCTCTCACTCCTATCAGAATCTTTCGCCTTCTCTCTATTACAACCTTTTCCATCTCTGTCGCACTTTCTGTGTATCATAATCTTTCGTGTTTCTTTCACTTTCCCTCTATTCCAAACTTTCTCTTCTCTATCACACTTTCTCTCTATTTTAATCTCTCCAATCTATCACTCTTTCTATCAGAATCTTTTACGCTTTCTATCTATTACAATCTTCTCTCTATCACACTTTGTCTCTGTTGCAATCTTTCTCCTCTCTGTCACACTTTCTCTCTATTGCAAACTTTCTCTTCTCTATCACACTTTCTACTTTAATCTCTCTCCTCTCTTTCACTCTTTCTATCAGAATCTTTTTCCTCTCTATTACAACCTTTTCCATCTCTGTCACACATTCTCTCTATTAGAACATTTCTCCTCTCTGTCACACTTGCTCTCTCTATTACAAACTTTTCCCTCTCTGTCACTCTTTCTATCAGAATCTCTCTTTTACACTTTCTCTCTATCGCAATCTTTCTCCTTTTCTCTATCACAATCTTTCTCCTCTCTATCACACTTTCACTCTCTAATGCAATCTTTCTCCTTCTCTCCATCATACTTTGTCTCTCTGTATCACAAACGTTGTCCTCTCTCACTCCTATCAGAATCTTTCACCTTCTCTATTACAACCTTTTCCGTCTCTGTCTCACTTTCTGTCTATCACAATATTTCTCATTCTCACCATCGCAATGTTTCTCCTTCTTTCTAACACACTTTCTCTCTATCACACTTGCTCTCTCTATTACAACCTTTTCCCTCTATCAGAATCTTTCTCCTTACCACACTCTCTATTACAAACTTTCTCCCCTCTATCACTGTTCCTGTCTATTGCAATCTTTCTCCTCTCTATTGCGATCACTGTCCTCTCTATCAGAATCTTTGTCCTCTCTATTACAACCTTTTCCCTCTCTATCACACTTTCTCTCTATCGCGATCTTTCTCCCCTCTTTCACACTTTCTCTCTCTGCATTGCAATGTTTCTCCTTTCTAACACACTTTCTCTACTTATCACACTTTGTCTTTATTGCAATCTTTCTGCTCTCTATCACACTCTCTTCTCTATTGCAATCTTATCTATATCACACTCTGTCTCTATTCCAATCCTTCTAACACACTTTCTCTCTCTATCGCTCTCCTTCTGTTGCCCAATTTTCCTCCTCTCTCTCACATTTCTTCTTTATTGCAATTTTTCTGCTTCTCTCCATTATACTTTCTCTCTCTCTACCACAATCTTTCTCCTTTCTGACACAATTTCTCTCTCAATCGAATTCGTTCTATTTCTCTATCACATTTTCTCTCTATTGCAATCATTCTCCTTCTGTGTCACACTTTCTATTGCAATCTTTCCTTCTCTCTTTCACACTTTCTCTCTATCGCAAAATCTTTCTCCTTCTGTATCCCGATTTTC